AGGCTCTGAGCTGTCAGCACAGAGCCCGACACGGGGTTCAAAGTCACAAACTGTGAGGTCATGACCTGAACTGAAGTCGTACGCTTAACCGACTGAGCCACCCAGGCACCCCTGAACTTGCTTCTTTTTTAAAAACATTTCTTTCGGTCTTTTGTAATTAAATTGTCATCCCTTGTCTTTTGCTTATTGTTTGATAAACATGTTAGTGTTTTCTTGCGGATTTCTATAAAATATTTACATATCAGAACAAATTTTGCATTTTTGGTCCTACATATTTTTCACAACTTGCTAGCCTGCCTTGTAATTATTATTTAAAAAAAATTTTTTTTAACGTTTATTCATTTTTGAGAGAGAGAGAGAGAGAGAGAGAGAGAGACAGAGCATGAGCGGGGGAGGGGCAGAGAGAGAGGGAGACACAGAATCTGAAACAGGCTTCCAGGCTCTGAGCTGTCAGCACAGAGCCCAACACAGGACTTGAACTCACCAACTGCAAGATCATAACCTAAGTTGATGTTGGAGGCTTAACTGACTGAGCCACCCAGGCGCCCCAATATACTCATCTTTTTAAGGTCCTCTAAGAGTGACTAACTGGTCAGAACAGGTGGATGCTTGGAAGAGTGGGTAATGGTGGTGGTAACTTGCTTTAGTCTGTGACCTACAACTGCGCTGAAAAGTGTTTTTATAAATTCTGCACACATTTCTCTGATTTCTTGTTAACTCTATGCCCTTCATGTAATTTTAGAAATTATCTAATTCAGGGATTGAAAAAAATAAATTAACTTTAACACTTTGCCTAATAAGATCATACAAATTTCAGTTGCTTGGCATCCTATCTTGTAGTTCTTTTGCACAGCTCTTCCCACCCCAACCTCCCATGTATTTACATGTATATATGTATGTATGTGTATCATTTAGAGTTGATGTGTATCATTTAGAGTTTCCACATCTGGAAAGACCCCAGGGTTTGCTTCTGCAAGAAGATACCCCAAGGTGTTAAGAGGACCTAAACAAATTGTTCCTATTACTTTCTGAGTCTTGTTTCAATGACATTCTCTCAGTTTCATCACAACTGCTATACCTATGTCTAGACCCTGATGCTCTGAACCAAATATTGTCCCTTGTGCTAATTACCTGAGCTAGGATAAAATTTTTAAAAGCTAAGCCATAAGAGAAAGCAGGAAGGAAATAAAAATAGAAAAAAACAGGTAGAATAAAAACAACTAATTCTACAATGTTTGGTTTCTGCTTCTAGCATGGAAGGCTGTATAAAGAAGAAAAGTTAAGAGCACTTGTGGAAAATCTGATTTACTTGGTTTGTGGTAGGGTTCCCGGTGATTCTAAAGCACAGCCACAGTTAGGAACAACTTTCCTAATCTGATGGGTTACACTTTTGTGTCTTGAGTCCTTTGCCCTCCTTTCTTTGATTTTATTAATTGAATAAAATTCAAATATGAGAAGAATTAATACTGTTCTGATACCAAATCACATTTTACCTCTTGTTTTCAAAATCGTCGTATCGTAAGCCTTCGTTGGCACAGTGGGAGGAAACGGCCGTTGGCTTCGGGCTTTAATGCCAGTGTAAGGATCCTTAGGTGATGTAAAGGTCGGGAACATGGCACCACGTGAGATGTGTGTGTGGTAGGGGTGTTCAATCGGATATGGGAAGCAGGTTTCTCTGAGATTTAGTTGAGCAAACAAAACAGAATAGAAAGAAATGCAATTGAAAAAAATTAATCATCAAATATTTATTGGGATCCTTCTTTGTGACTGGTACTGTTCTATTTCTGAGGATACGACAGTGAGCCAAGGCCCCTGTACTCCTGGAGTTAGCTTTCTGGTGGAATATGTGCCACGAAACATATTTTCCTAATTTTGCTAGACAAATAAAAGTTACTTTTTAAAATAAATCATAACTGAATTCTTTATCTGTGAATAATTTTCACAACTAATGCAGAAGATACATGAAATCTGTAGTTTTTCTAGTTGCTTTCAATTTCTGCCTCTTGTTTTAACAGGATCCCAGTGCTTTATTTTATGGAATCATTTCTGGGCATTCAGCTTCAGTATGCAAAGTCATATCCAACCATCTTGCCTTGAACTTTCAACCTAGGCCATCTGTTTCTTTTAAGCAGTCAATCAACAAAATATACTGCCTGTTTATGTACACAGTACTGTTGAGAAATCAAAAAGCCAAAAATAGCTGATAAACTGATGGGAAAAATAAAAACCAACAAGTTAAAAAGACCACAGGGATACAATTTTACTATGATTTGAAAAACTAGCAGAGTTCTTAAAAGAACTAGCAGAGATTTGTGAGAGCTGATAGCTGGCAATCAGCGGTGGCCCAGGCCCAGATCCCGGCCCCTTACTGCTTACTCGGCCCGCTAATGCAAATCTGTACTGAATTCAGCAGCCTTGTCATCATGACGGGCTCTCTGAAATACCTAGCAGTCCAAGATTCTTAACAAGTTCCTGATCTCTCATAGATACCGCAAGAAGTTAAGGCTGATTTGTAAGAGAAAGTGTCTAGACTTCAAGCAAAAGTCATTTATGAAGGCCAGCTCGTTCTGTTTTTGTGGAAAGATTTGGTTTTCTTGCCCTTGTCACAAACTCCGTCAGTTGAACACATTTTTGCATTGGGTATGGCATCATTTTATTGTGAATCACTAAACTTTTCTGATGTATTTATTTTGCTTAAAAAGCACCACATCAATGGCTACATGGCTTGGTACAAGGCACGAGGTCATCAACTCCGTGATGATATTAGAACACAGAATCAAGACATTCATTCCTGAATTCCAACTCACTGATGTACCTCAGAGTCATAAAAACACTAGCCTAGTAACTGCTTTCATTGAAGCAATATTGGGTATACTTCCTTTTATATACAACACAGTGATTTCCACTTATTCTAAATAAACATTTCCATTGTCCGATTCAGTGGATATTATAGTTAACCATCTCCCTCAAATTAACTTCCCCTTATAAATTTGCTTGAAAATAAACGATCATTTATAGTTTGAGCAAACTGTGAATAAAATAGGAATGAACACATTTTTCCTCATGGGGAGAATGTCCAGTCTACTTAAGTTAGGAAAGGACGGAGTTTACTGAGGTCTAGTAAAAAGCCCATGTTATAAGAGAAGTTCTTGTACATTCAGAGTCTTGAGTGTTTGCTTCATTCACTTTCAGGTGTAGTAGTCAGAAAGCAGGGGACCTAGGTAAGAAAGATAGAGACCCTGGGGACAGTAAAGAATGAAATGAGAAAGTCCAGGGTTCAAATATTGTCCAACAGAGACATTTAGTCACAAATCATACTAGAAAGAATGGCTGAGTAAATACAGTATAATGATTGTCTCAGTCTATGCTAATTAACTTACCTGGGAATAAGATTAATTTTGATTTTCTTGGATTTTTCCCAGTATGTGTCAAATTGAGATAAGATGTAAGAATTGGTGGGAATGGCGAATCAGTGGGATTAATTTTTGAACTTTCAATGCCATTTCCCCTAGACTTGATGATGTAGTTTAAGGAAATGTGGTATGAATATTTCATAAAATGGTCATGTCTGTCCACTGTCCCTAGAAAATATCTCAGTGGTTAATGTGGGAGGTCCTGAGACATTGTAACTACTACAGGAGCAGGAATTATACTCAGGGGACATTGCCTTGAGATGTTGTTAACCACAACAATAACTACAACAATAAAGCATTTATGTTCCTGGCTTTATGCTAACTGCTTTATCTCTCCTCTTTATCAGAGAATCATTCAACAGGCTAAATGCTAGCATGCACCCAGAGGCCAGGGCAGGGTGGCCCCATTTGGTACTAATCTGATGTTGGCTAGGACTGCCCAACAAAGGCATTTGGTTTTCATTGTATCTTGTATCTTGTTCATCACAAAGACATGACCAGAAAGTAGAGATTGACTTCTTAATTTAGAATACAAATTCCAAAGGCCAAGATCACGTTAAATTACAAAAACAGAACCAAAAGAATTTTGTAAGACATTTTTTTCCCTGGGGATTGGTCCCCCTAATAGGAAGTAAATTTGCAAAACGTGTATACATAGTTATTGGGTCTTTCTGGTTTTGTCTGTGGCCAGGGTTTTGCTTTGAGAAGAAGGGGTAAAAGGTGGAAGTTACAAAGGCAGGGAGAGGCCCACTTAATTCTGATCATTTGGGATTGAGGCAGAATTTTCTTCCCCCTCAGATTCTAGAAACGATTTCCTAGTTAATAATATTAAGTTATATCTGGTAATGATTTAGCAAAACATATTTTACTCTAAAACTCAAAAGCTATGGACTCTGTCTTGAATCTATGTATGAGATTTCGTTCAATATTTTATATATATAGTACAAAGGCTATTTTTGTTAAAAATCTGAATAAAGTATGGATTTTCGTTAATAACAATACATCAAATTTGGCTCATGAATTTGTAACAAATACACCCTACATGTAAGATATTGCTAATAAGGGAGACTGGGTATGAGGTATATAGGAACTCTGTACTGTTTTTCAAATAATTCTGCAAATTTAAACTGTACTAAATTAAAAAGTTTATTAAGAAAGGATTAGCAGAGTATATAATACCATCCTCTTCTCCCAGTTGTTAAAGTCTTTCATGAAAAGTCACATTTGTACTCACACTGAGACATGGATTGCCAATATTTTTTACTTGACTATAACATGGAAGGAAAATGTTAAGTATATACTTACTGTACTGTTGCATTAGGTGGTTTGGGCATCCTAGAGTAAAAACAGGAAACAAATCCTAATTTATATTAAGGACTTTTCAAAGCTTACATTCCTATTAGAAATTTGCTTAAAAATAAAGATGTATCCCATTTTCAAACTACAGTGTCTTTAAGATAACATTCTCGATTGACTTTCTGGAACACTGAATACCAGTCAGAGGGATGATATCCTCATATCTCAGTTCTGTTGATCAATCTAACTTCAGTCCCACTCACCACCCATTTTGCATTTCCTATTTGCAGTGCAGGTGCAGGACTGACTGCTTCCAATGATAATGCGGCTCTGATTTTGACATTCACCCTCATAATCAGGCAGTAGCCAAAGTGCTGCAGGCAGCCTGCCACCATGCATATGGTGCAATTACATGACCTCAAGTGACCTCAGTGTGGCCTGGTGGGACAAGATATAGAAGTACTGTGTGTGCTTTGTCCCTTTGCCCAGGATTGCTGATCTATCACGATCATAAATGTTGCCCCGTTGACAGAAAGGCTGGAACAAACCTGAACACGTTTCTGGAGGCATGTCTTTTCTGAATCAGTTCATTTGAAAGTTACGTCTTTACTATTTACCCTGAGCCCTGCCTGCCAAGAAATAATACTGAAGCCCAGGAACAAAGTCCACACTACAGGCCTGTCACCTACTTCTATTGGATTCAACAGTTAGTTTCAGCCTATGCAGATATTTCTGAAATATTTCAGGCATAAAAAAGTGAATAGAATGTTATCTGTTGATAGCAGAGGTCAACAAAATGAAGTGTGCTGGTTAAGTTTTGTATGTTTCTTTAGAAAGTGGTACGTAAGCTATATTATGTTTTGATTCCACAGTGTATTATCAACACGTAATTCAGATGAATCTTAACAGGTTTATGTCTTTCTTTATTTGGACTCCAAGTTTGCAGGCTTGGGACTAAAAAACAAAACCAAAAAACATGTCTTCCAGTTATATTTATGGTTGATTTGGGGAAGGCGGGGGCAATGAATATTAACAATCCAAGGAATTCCGAGTTACTAGATTGACTACAATATATGAAATGTTAAATCAGCATCTAAAATTTTTCTCATGTGACAAATTTAGCTATGATATTGACAAGTGTATATCTAAAATCAGTTGGATTCAAAATTGAAAACATTTTTAAAAAGGAAAACTTTTTAAAAAGTTCAAGTTTGAAAGGATAAAATGAAAATTAAAAATGCTCAGAGACCCAGGCCCTTGACCTAAACCAGTCCATTATTTTACTGCTGCACTCTACATTTACTTTTCAAAGTGTACTGATCTCAAAGGGATAAATGAATAGGACCTAGTAGCCACCACAGATTTCACGTCTTTTTGGCTCCCTCTTGTGGCTGAACTCTATATTAACTTCTTATCTACACAAATTCCTCACAATTCTAATAAAGGTAAAGAAGTGATATTTTCCTTGTTGCTTCAGTGTTGTCAGTATTTTATTTTTATCTGAAAATTAAGAAGTATGCTCTTTAAATATATATAATGGACTATTGCAGAGAGGAAAGATAATTTAATATGCTGGAAAGTAATTCCTGTAAGCAAAGGATAAATTAAAAAATATTCCTTATCCAAAAAGGAGATTTAGGGAGTAACTTTATTACAAATTATTTGTAAATTGTCATGATAATCCTCTCCTCTCATAATATCCTGATGAAAAATTTTGCTGAGGGTGCTGGGCCATTTCCTATGAAACTTTTAAGAAATTTAACAGATTCTTATTAGATTAACTAGGTCAAAGGCAGAGAAATGGACCCAGATGACTTGTTTGAATTCTTTTGAAAATTACTATTCCATATTTCATATTTTTTCTTTGTTTAATTGCTACAAACTATAAGTGGGTTTTGGTTTATTTTTTAAATTTTTATTTCTTTGGTCTTTGTTTCTATTATTAATGATCTCTGTTGGAAAAATAAAAGAACACTTTTGTTTTTCTAAAAGTTCCCATTTGGGAGCTTTTTTATTTCTCATATAACATATTTTCACTTAAAAAAGCTATTTGGTCCATTATGAGGAAAAGAAACCCCAAACTTACAAAGAATCATTTCCATAGATGTCACTTTTTTTGTTCTGTGTCAAATAATAGAATTGTTCAATAGGAAGTTTTCTGAAAAGAAAGATTAAATAGAACATCTTTTTAAATTAATACAGTGATTATCAGATAGTAAAAAGATGAATAGACTAACAACCATGTATTTATGGAAATTCAGTATATGAAAAGGTGACATTGTAAGTCAGTGGCAAAGGATTTACTTTTCAGTAAACAATGCAGGAAAAATCACTAGCCATTTGGAAAAAAGTAAATTTTCATTTCATATGATGCATAAAGATAATTTCAGATGGATTAAAAATCTAAATATTTGGGGGAAAACATACAAATATTAAAATAAAATATGTAAGAATGTATTTTTTTCTTTGTGGTGGGGAAAACATTTTAAATGAGATTTTTCTTTTAAATTCAAAATCCAAAAGGAAATTTTATGACATCAGAAGAAAACCTTTGAATACGGGATGGAATAAAACTGAAATAGGGGTGCCTGGGTGGCTCAGTTGGTTAAGGGTCTGACTCTTGATTTCAGCTCAGGTCTTGCTCTCAGGGTTGTGAGTTCAAGCCCGACATTGGGCTCTATACTGGGCATGAAGCTTACTTTAAAAAAAAAAACCACAAAAACTCAAATAAAACAAAGGTTGGAAGAAATTTTTGCAATAAAGATATATAAAGGATTACTATCTAGAATATAATTAGTAAGAACCTATAGCTAAAAGACAGTACAAATGGGCAAAGAGTAAGAACAGAAAAGGGAATGTAAATGACCATACATAAGAAAACATGAACATAAGTACTCAACCAGAGATGAATTTTGATAACCAGATAATCTTTATACTTACTAGATGGGCAAAAATTATGTAGTTTGATAATATAACACAGTTGGCCAGGAGTGTGGGTAAATAGATACTTTTACACACTACCATGAAAATATAAAGCATTTGGGCCGTATCTCTAAAATTAAAAATATTCAGGGCGCCTGGATGGCTCAGTCGGTTAAGCGTCTGACTTCAGCTCAGGTCAGGATCTCGCGGTCCGTGAGTTCGAGCCCCGTGTCGGGCTCTGGGCTGATGGCTCAGAGCCTGGAGCCTGCTTCCGATTCTGTGTCTCCCTCTCTCTCTGCCCCTCCCCCGTTCATGCTCTGTCTCTCTTTGTCTCAAAAATAAAAAAATAAAAAAAGTTAAAAAAAATAAAATTAAAAATATTCATATATTGTGACTCATAACTTTCACTTAGGATTTTCCCTAGAGAAACATTTGTGCATGAGCTCAAGGAGGCCTGTACAACTGTACAAGAAGGATATTTGTTACATATAGTTAATGTCAAAAAAAGGGAAACAATATGAAAATGGCTAAATAATCTCTGATGCATCTGTATTGTAGACACAATGAGAAATTAAAATGGTCGGGGCCCCTGGGTGCCCAGTGGCGTCGACTTCCAGCCAGATTCCGCGATCTCCAGCGTCGGTTGAGGCAGCGTCAGGCTCTGGGCTGATGGCCAGAAGACTTCCTGGAGCCTCTATTTCGATTCATGCTCCCTCTCTCTCTATGCCCCTCAGTTCATGCTCTGTCTCTCTCTGTCCCAAAAATAAAATAAAAAAACGTTGAAAAAAAATTAAAAAAAAAAAAAAAAATTAGATCGATCTGTGTTTACAGTCTTTAGATTGCAGAGAGCGAAAAAAGAACCGAGTTGCCTAATACTATACATCCAGCGATTCCACACTTAAACTGTATAATACATATATTTTCAAGGGGTACATGTGTAATTATATAAATGTGCAGAAGGTGTGAAAGAATGTACACCAAAGTGACAGCAATGGTTCCTTCTAGGGAGGAAACTGGAATTGGTGGGACAGTGGTCAAAGGAGACTGGACCTTGTCTTTGACTTTTTTTTTTAATTTTTTTTTTTGAGAAAGACTTGTATTTTTAGAGCAGTTTTAGGTTCACAGCAAGGTTGAGAGAAGGTAGAGAGATTTCCCACATACCCTTTATCCCCACACATGGCTTAGCCTCCCCATTTTACTATTTCTCACCAGAGTGGTACATTTGTTACTATTGATAACCTGCATCAACACATCATTATCACCTAAAATTCATGGTTTACATTAGCTTTTGCTCTTGGTGCTTATAGTGTTTTAATATACATTGTAGTGCTCAACTGTCACTTGTGGCTCCAGGTATCTTTTAAACACCCGTCTTTTATCTCATCTACCCAAAGTTCTAAAAAGCTTGCTTTCTCAGTCTTTGAGAATGGCCCTAGAGTAGTGAGGGTTATTTGTACCCCATGAGAGTCCTAACCAAGAGAGTCCTACAGTTGAGGATGTGCTTCGTAATTAGGCAAACAAAGTGACCAACTCTGTGAGTGTCAGGCTTTCTCCAGTCATCACAGTGCTTGCTCGGTGGCTTCATAAATTAAATTACCATGGAGGCAGGACAGAAGTTATAAGTAGATTCAACAACGTGAACTTCTCATCAAACTGACCTGGCAACATTTGAGTTTGCCAGTGGAGGTTACTAATCCCAAGTATTTCAAATGTTTATTTATTTGTTTTGAGAGAGAGCAAGTGAGAGAGTACAAGCAGGGGTGGGGCAGAGAGAAAGGGAGAGAGAAAATCCCAAGCAGGCTCTGTGCTACCAGCACAGAGCCCAGTGCAGGGCTTGAACTCATGAACGGTGAGGTCATGATCTGAGCCAAAATCAAGAGTCAGACACTTAATTGACTGATCTACCCAGGTGTCCCTAACCCTAAGTATTTCATAGAGAAAACTCTCCCTGGGTGTACTAGTCAGCCACCTGATGGGAGGTTGATTACATTGTGAAAGAGATGATTTATCCCCACAGGAGTAGACACTTCTAAAGACAGATTTCCCTTTCTTTCTCTATATACTTCTGCCAGTTACATCACCAGTGGACTTCCTGAATGCCTTATTCACTGCATGCTATCTTAAAAAATACTACTTTCGATTAAGGAATTCAATTTACCACAAAAGAAATAAGGCAATGATTACATTTAAAGGATTTACTGGTCTCCTATTTACAGAATGTAGAATAGCTTATTGAAGATTCATTTGTGGCTGCAGCTTGTCCTAAAGAGTGTGGCACATGCTCTGAACCAGTGGCCAAGAAGTGGTGTCTCTCATAGCCAGAACGGATGGTCTAAAAAGCAAAGGATCGGAGTGGAACCTCTCACTATTATACTTACTGTTACACTTGAGAAAAATGTTGCTTCCTTCCCAACCCCCTTGAGTTTTGCTGGGTTTGAGGTCAAGGGAGAAATGCTACCATGAGAAGACACAATGGTCCTACTGAATTGGAAGCTGAATTGATGATGTGGTAATTGGAGGCTCCTTATGATTGGAGAAAACAGGCAAGAAGTAGATTGGGATAATTGATTCTGAATGTCAAGGGCAAGAGGGCTATTGCTGTGCAGTCATGGGGAAAAATATTTTTAGAACCTAAAGAATCTTTTGGACACCTCTTAGTATTGCCTCTAGTGGCATAAATTTAATGGAATACTGGAGCAGCCTCACACAGGTAAAACCACTAATTGCTTAGATCTCTCAGGAACAACATTGGGGGGTACCCCACTTGTAATGAACTTGTACCAGCCCAGGTGCTGGCTGAGGGCAAGTGAACTTGGCTGTGTATATAATTATGTTATTATCTCTATATGTATTCTATATATTCTATATATATTCTATAGAATATATTCTATATTCTATATATATTCTATATATATATTCTATATATATACACACACACACACTTAATATATTTTTCTATATGTTTTTATATACCATAACATATAATTACTACAAAGTTTATAATATATTTATATATAATATATTTATATATTAACTAATTTTATTTTTTCATTCACCCTTCTCCCTTATTTCCTTATTATTCTATATAGGGTGTTGGTGACGGTTTACTTCATTAAGTGTGTAGCTGTGAACTGTCAGGGCAAGATTATGACTGAACTAGAGGAGAACATCACCCAGAGATCTTGGACTTGGAGCTGGATGCAGGCACTGATGAGACTCTGGGTTTCCCCGTTGGGGGAGGTGAGTGCATTTTCATGAAAACGTCTTACATTTTCTTACACTGGCAGCCGTTCTCAAACTTCACTGCATGTTAGAATTACCTGAGGGATTTTATTAAAATGCAGATTCTGTCTCAGTCAATCTGGGGTGGGGTCCAAGATTTTGCATTTATCATTTTCTAGGTGGTACTCAATGCTGCTGGTGCATGGACCACATGTTGAATAGGAAAGCATGATACTGTTTTTGCTGCTGTTATTTAGTGTGACAGTCAACTGGGACAGGTGGCTAACATCTTTACAGTACCCTCTCGGTATTCTGTTAGTTTTTCACATTTTGGATATCCCACTTGCCCAGGAAGAATCAACTTTCCAGCCCCTTGAGCAACCAGCGAGCCAGTCATCCATATCTGCAACCAGACTTTGATTTGAATGTGAGTAGCCTAAAAACACAGGCTTCAAGAGGGGCATCCATATTGCTAATAAGGTAGCAGCAGAGCCGCCCAGTTTTAGCAGAAGCTCTTCCCTGATGAGGCGAGTCTCGAGAATGAGTCTGGATATTATTCCCGGAAGCTTAGCAATTAGCCTGTTTCTCTAGCCCTCCCACAGTTTTGTGAGTTAACCTAATATCCTCTGGTAGATTCTCTTCTTAAACTAGTCAGAACCGATTCTGTTTTTGCAACTAAAACTCCTGACACATACAAATGGATACCTTGTGAAATTAACATTTAATTTAAAAAAGAACAAAAGTGGTTTTACTGTGAAAAAGTCAAATATAATTTAATTTAAATGAGATAATCTCTATAAAGCAGTTAGCACAATGTGTGGCTAATCAAGTACAAGTACTTGATTAATGCTGTTGTTTAAAAAAGAGATTGTTTTCTGTTTTTATGGAAATGGCATCATTCTCATTTTAAAGGTTTAAGTAATTACAAAAAAGTACATATAAATACTACCATGTAAAACATGATTCTAGATATCTGTCTCTCTTTAAAAAGTAGATGTAAGGAAATAAGAATGG